TGGACCAGCAGGGGTTATCCCAGTCTCCACTGACCTGCACTTATCAAAGCTGCATCCTGAAGCTGAATACAGCAAATCTTACCAAAATGGCAAATGTGCCATTCTCACAGATGCCTGCACCACGCAGTCCAAGCAGAACTGCCATGGATTTGTAGTGCAGTCCCTGCAGAATTTAGCTGAAATCTTACAGCAATTTTGGGACACTCTGGCTGAGAGACATGCAACAATCCTAACTCCTGAGGAGTCCTGTGAAGGCGCCAGCCAAGAGGTGACCAGGGCCACCCCGGGCACAACTTTACCTCCAGCACCGGTTAAACCTAAGGTACACCAGCCCAGGCCGAGGGCCATCAGAGGATTAACCATGAAGCATCTATCGAACAGACGGAGGACCATCCACCAATGGCGGCATTTCGCCATCAAGGTAGTCTGTCACATCCATAATGGGGTGAACTTAGACTCTGTGAGCCCCTGACTCTGTGGCATTGTGATACAGACATCTGTTCCGGCCTGGGACTGGGAGCAGGCCCTGGCTCGCTCCTTCAACAACACTTGCCCTCAGCATAAGGAATGACCACCTCTGGCAACCTACCTGTGGCATTGGAACTCCTGACTTTTTAGAGTTATACCCCTGTCTATATGGCAGGCAATTACATTCTCTGTCATATGCTCTTTTGAAATGATTGGGGTCTAGTGGTACTAAATCCATTTCGTTATATCCTATGGTTTATCGTGTTATACTTTTCTTTTTACTTTTTTCATTACATTAACAGGCTTATAATATTACTCCATCTCTCACACTGACATCCTACCACCCTTGAATGCAGCTAATTTGCTCAAGTTTGCAAGTTACATGTTTAGCCTGCTGTGTTATCATTAAACAATGTGCTGATATGCCTTTACTACACATCTCACAAGGCAAGACATAGGCTACATGTCACCTGTTTATTTACACCAATACTTGCATCTGAGACACTTTACTAGCTTTTTTATGAAACTTCTCCTATATTATAAAAAGTGTAGTAATCTCTTGACGTTTCCTGATGCCCCTGTTTTCTTTTGTTGACATATACAATACTGTGAAATGTCTACGTAAATGTGTATTGTGAAACTATGCACTGCAACAATAAAGAATATAAATACATTTTAAAAAATGCAGTCAAAGCACAATATAAAATGCAGTAAAAAATGCCGCCTGATTCCCTTCCCCAAAACGTCCTATTTTTTTTAGGGACCAACCCTCAAGTTCATTGGTGGGGTGGTAGGTGTCTTCCCAACCTGTCCTGATGATTCGCCTACCAATATTAACTCCAGGTGTCTCGTATGCGTCCGTTCCTTAGCTCCAGTTGTACATACTTACCGGCAAGGTCTGCTTGCCACCCCTTATGATGTAAATGTTCCACGCTTCACTTCCGTGCTTTTCCTGGAACAAAATTTGCCCATGCGTTCCACCAGAGCATTACGTATGCATATCAATGACGTCCATATAGTTCTTTTAGTCCCACGGTCAATCACTTGACGGGCATCCACTATCTTAAGGAATAAAACATAATAAAAGATTATCACTGAATACAGATGCAATTTAAAATACTATATTTCCTTCATATAAAATATAAAAAAAATAATAATATTCAAGGTGCTCCTTACTCATTACCTTAATTAATATGCATTTACACATTGAATTCAAACTATTACATCAATGACTTTAAAAGTATCATTATTATAAAGTGCACTGTAATAAAAAGCATGAGAAATTGTGTTTAAAGTGCACACCAGCTTAAAAAAGTGCATATATAATATTGAAACAGAAGTAAACAAAAAGCAATAATATACTTTTTGTGTACAATTCCATGTAAAGGATTTGTTTAAATTATACAAAACTAAACCAATGCAAAGCAGAAAAAAAAATGTCATAAATAAATACTGATGGCGTGCAATTCAGAAACACTGTGCCAAAAAGCCCCTAGTTCAGCAAAGTTGGCTAGACTTTGGAAGAGGGTGAGAACCCAGGTAGCTTCATCTGAGTCTGAAAAAGGTTCCCATGAATTCTATTTAAAAACCTTTTAATGACCATAATGGAAATAAATCCTACAAGGCAGATGAGAAGGCATCAGGCACTGATTTGAGATGAACTATATCCAGATAGGATGGAAAGTTACTAGATCCACAGAATGTACTAAGCCATACCTAGCGGAATGGTGTACCTCAGACCATGTGGCTTTGCAAGTGTGCAAGCCTTTAGTAAATAAGACTCTAAACAAATTATTGGTGGAATGTTGTTGCCCCACAGTTCATGATAATGTCTGCCATATGCCTTTTGTGATTCCAAAATCATACAATTTCTAAATATGACTGGATGAAAACCCAGGATAGGGATATAATATTTGCTATGAAATTGTCAGGATAAAATCATAGAAATCTTCGGTCCTTTGAACAAGATTTTCAAATCGGTGGAGGGTGCTTTATTCTTAGAACCAAACGATTGACTGCTTGACAGAATGAGGTCAGATGCAGAGAATAGTCACAAAGATATTTTTACTTTTAAAAACAGTACCTGAACTAGTAAATCTGGCCCTCAATGAACCTGGCAACCTGGGGTTGCATGTACAGATGTTTATTGCCTTGGACAGGGCGCAATGGAATAAAATGAGTTTTCCAACCAAAAATGTTTGCAAGGGCCAGAAAAGCTAGGTGCCATCTATCCGGCGACCTCAACATCAGAACTGAGGCACCAGTCTTCTTCCCATAACATAGTCATCCATAGTCTTCAAGAGGTGGACAGTGTGCACCTTCTGTATGACGTCCTTACGGTATGTACGGTAAGTAGCATGTTTAAAGTGAGCAGGGAGTAAAAAGAGCAGTTGAAAATATGCGCTATGGATGGCACAAAACAAGAGGAGAGATATGATGAGGTGAGAAGGGATGGCATCAAGAGGACAAGTGGTGTGGTGAAAGGAAAGTAGAAGTACAGTCTCTTTTTAATTAAAAACTGTAACTGGGGAGAAGGCCTAAATTGTAGGAAAGGTAAGGTCCAAGTTGAGAGAGAGAGAGGAGCATTATTTCCTTAATTGATTAATCTTGTCAGTAAAATAGCATGCAAAGTTATCAGCTGAAAGGTTAGTTTAGGGTGTGCCACAAGAGATGAAAAGAAGAGAGTTGAAGGAATCAAAGAGATGCCTGAGTCTGTGGGAGTATTGTCACGTATTACAAAATGTGGTTAATGACATTTACTGTCCACACAGGAAAAGTTGTGCCGAGCAACAACCAAATCCACAGAAGGATTAAGGCTGAGCAGCAATTATGCAAATGAGATCTAGTAACTGCCTTTGGGGTCAAATGCCGGTTACAGCCTATCAGACCTAGAGGAGGGGTATTTATGCCCAGTTCTCATCCTGCTCAGTGCCCTGTCGTGGTTTCCCCTGTGGTTGTCCGAGAGCGTGTTATTGATTCTGGTTATTCTGGTTATTTGACTTTGGCATTGTTTTTGACTTCCCTGTTTTCTGGCATCCCTGACTCCTGGCTTTTCCTTATCATTGTGTCTCTTTCTGTTTCCCTTGACCTCGGCTATTCCTGACTTTTCTTTGGTACGGTATACGTTACCTATCAGTCCTCTGTGTTACACAGTTCTTCGTGCTGGATCATTCTGTAATCCTGACATTACGACATGGCCATAGATCCTTAGAATTGTGTAAGCACATAGCTGCTTGTGAAAGGAAACTGGAGGATAATGATCACCGCTTGGATCAATTTGCCCAGGCTTTCAGTACGCGTCTTACTCGTACAGCACATCTGCAACTTGTGGCTGCTCCTACTGTATCACCTCTGCCTTGTGTACCTCCGCCTATAGTATACAAGGTACCAACTATCTCTCTATCTCCTCCTCTGCATTTTGATGGTAATTTCCAAGAATGCCGGGGATTCCTTAACCAAATAGAGTATCATTTTGAGGCCTCATCGGGATCATTTCCCACAGACAGAGCTAAAATTGGTTACCTGATGAATCAATTAAAAGGTAAAGCTTTAGCTTGGGCCAATCCATTATGGGAGAGTAATAGGAGTGTGGCACACAATTACCAGGAGTTTATTACAGAATTTAAACTTACGTTTGAACCATTAGGCAGGGAGGAAGACGCCTCTACTGCCCTGATGCATATCAGACAAGGGAACCGGTCTATCTCGGAGTATGCCATAGAATTTCGTACCCTAGCTTCCGAGGTAGACTGGATTAATAGTGGGTTAATCTCTGCATTTAAAAAGGGACTATCGTAAACTATGCTAGATGAGATTGCCGCCAAAGACTTACCCAAAAAACGTAATGAATTTATCACTTTTGTCATGCAAATTGATAATAGATTGAGAACCAGAGAAGCTACTAGAAACAAGACCAGACACATGAATATGCCTTTAGCACTGTAGCGTTACTTAGCTTAACCGGGGGCCGGTCGCGGTCCTCTCTTCAAGCCGCGCGCGGTCCTGCGGCTGCACGAGCCGCGCGCGGCTCATCCAACTACTTCGGATGGAGGGCGGGCAGTGACCGCATGAGGCGGTCACGTGTCCCGCCTGAATCTAAGAGCGCGCCGCGAGTCTCGGGCGCGCTCTTAAAGGGACAGTGGGTGCCTAAATTGGAAAAGGCATCCCATTGGTCCCTGTCATGCCACACTCCCCATACACTTACCTTTTGGGGGCGTGGATGTGACAGGGACCAATCAAATTAGATATTTAGGTATTTATACTCACCTTCTTCCCTTTGTTCCTTGCCCTATCGTGGTTTCTGTTTCAGTTCCCTTTAGCGCTTGTGGTGTTCAGTTGTGTTTTCTCGTATTGACTTTGGCTTCGTATTCTGACTTCGTTTTTCGCTTTATCCTTATCTGTACTGTTTGCCGGCTTGCTGTTTTCCGTGTACCAGACCCCGGCTTGTCCTAGTTTACGCTGTCTCTCTGTGCTCTTGACCTCGGTTTTGTTCCTGGCTCTGTCTTCTCTCATATACGTCAAGTCCGGCCATTCTAAGGTCCGGTAGACGTATCTCTCCTCTGTATTTGCCTCTGTTTAGCTGGATCCTGCGTGTAGGGGTATATTCTCGTTACATTATGATAGGGCCATGGACCCCGCAGATTTAGCTCAACAGATGGCGTCCCATGAGGCAAGATTTGTAGAGCAGGATCACCGTATGGATCAAATAGCTCAGGCTCTCCAGACGCTCCTAGCTAGAACCGTTCCAGCAACCACACCTAACCCTCCTACGCCCCTTCTCCCTGAAGTATCTACTTTGCCTAATACTTCGGCCCATTTAACACCTCCTCCTAGGTATGGAGGGGACTCTAAGACTTGCAGAGAGTTTATTAATCAGATTGAATTTCACTTTGAAATGTATCCACGTTCATTTCCCACAGAGAGGTCTAAGGTTGGGTTCTTTATGCACCAACTTACCGATAAGACACTTGAGTGGGCAAATCCTATTTGGGAAGCTAATGGACCTATGGTACATGATTTCAACAGTTTTCTTACGGCTTTTCGTAGAACTTTTGACACAATGAAAAGGTCAAAGAATGCCGCGAGAGCATTAATGAGAATTAAACAGGGTTCTAGGTCTGTGGCTGATTATGCTATTCAGTTTCGCACTCTTGCTTCGCAGGTAGATTGGACCAACAATGGGTTAACTACTGCCTTTATGGAAGGTTTGTCAGATACGATATTGGATGAGGTAGCAGCTAAGGAGCTTCCTATTGCCTTAGAGGACCTTATCGATTACCTCATCGATATTGATAATAGAATTCGTGACAGGCTCTATACCAAGAACAGGAATAGACGTTTTGTTACACCCATTAACCCCAGAGTTAATATACCAGAGAGTGTTAAAGTGTCTGAGGAGGAACCTATGCAATTAGGGGTTGCCAAACTCTCTGATACTGAGAAATTACATAGGAGAAGGGAGGGACTCTGCCTATACTGTGGTAGGAGAGACCATATGGTAAAGGAATGTCCTTTACTCCCGGAAAACTCTCGCACCTAAGACCTTATAGGGGACTGGCCTTGGGTGTGATATCTAAGTCTCCTAAATTGCCTCCTAACCGCTTGCTTCTCCCGGTTTCTTTATATATGGGAGAGATTTGTATAGTTGACAACATATATGCTCTGGTTGACTCTGGGGCAGCTGAAAATTTTATAGACTCTGGCTTTATAAAGAGAAACAACATTCCCATCAGAGAGAAGGAGATACCCTTGGCCGTTGAGGCCATAGATGGTAGACCATTAAGTTCTCCAGTTGTTACTCATGAGACTGAACCACTACACATGTACACAGGGGTTTTACACTACGAAACCATTCGATTCCAGGTTATCACCTCTCCCTCTTCACAGTTAGTATTAGGGTATCCATGGTTACGTGCTCACAATCCCATTTTTGACTGGGAGACAGGGCAAATAAAATCATGGAGTAAGGCCTGCCACGAGTCTTGTACGTTGGAAGTCACACCTTTGAATTCTATTGAGGTACCTACCAGTCCTCCTTTGTCTATGGTTATACCCCCTCAGTATTTATCTCTAAAGACTGTTTTCGATAAAAGGGAGGCTGAGAAATTACTGCCTCACAGACCCTATGATTGCGCTATTGACTTGTTGCCTGGCACTATACCTCCAAAGGGCAGGGTGTACCCCTTATCGGTTCAAGAAAACCGTGTTATGGAGGAGTACATCAAAGAATCATTAGAAAAAGGGTTTATTAGGAGATCCTCTTCTCCAGCTGGAGCAGGGTTCTTCTTTGTATCGAAGAAAGAAGGTGATTTAAGACCGTGTATAGATTATAGAGGTCTAAACAAAATCACTATCAAAAATGCATACCCTATACCTTTGATTACAGAATTATTTGACAGGCTGAAACATGCCACTGTGTTCACTAAATTAGACCTTAGGAATGCATACAATTTGATACGTATAAAGGAAAATCACGAATGGAAGACTGCATTCAACACTAGATCCGGTCATTACGAATACGCTGTTATGCCATTTGGGCTTTGCAATGCCCCAGCAGTATTCCAAGAATTTATTAATGATGTATTGAGAGATTTTATTCACACATTTGTTATCGTATACTTGGACGACATTTTAATATATTCTGCAGATATACACACTCATCACAGACATGTTACGACAGTTTTGAAGACCCTTCTTGCTAATGGTCTTTATTGCAAGCTAGAAAAATGTCTGTTTGACCAAACCGAAGTCCAGTTCTTGGGGTATTTGATTTCCGCTAAAGGTTTTCGTATGGATCCCCAGAAGCTTGCTGCTGTAATAGAATGGCCTCTACCGCAAGGTCTGAAAGCTATTCAGCGTTTTCTTGGGTTCTCCAATTATTATAGGCGTTTTATCAAAGGTTTCTCGTCCATTGTAGCACCTATCACTCGTATGACTAAAAAGGATGGCAATACTCGTGTTTGGTCTACCGAGGCACTTCAGGCTTTTGAATTTCTTAAAACTACGTTCGCCTCTGCACCTATTTTACAGCATCCTGTCCCCTCACTGCCCTATATTCTTGAAGTTGATGCTTAGGATATTGGGGTAGGTGCTGTCTTATCCCAAAGAGAGTCGCCTGAGAAGCCATTGCATCCATGCGGCTTCTTTTCTAAACAAATGTCCAAAGCAGAGAAAAATTATGATGTGGGTAATCGTGAACTCCTTGCTATTATTTTAGCACTTAAAGAGTGGAGACATTTGTTAGAGGGAACTAAGGATCCTATCCTCATTTTTACGGATCACAAGAACCTATCCTATCTTAGCGAAGCCAAAAGATTGTCTTCCAGGCAGGCTAGGTGGTCACTATTTTTGTCTCGTTTCAATTTTATTATCACCTATAGGCCAGGTGATCGCAACACTAAAGCAGACGCTCTGTCCAGACAGTTCGAAACTACTGACAAACAGGAGATTGATGTTACTCCTGTCATTCCCCCAGACAGGATAATAGCTACTACTATTTTGTCTATTTCCTCGTCCCTCTTGCAGACCATACAAGCGAAACAAAGCATGGCACCTAGCGAGAGGCCTAATGATAAACTGTTTGTTGATGTTCCTGAGAGACGGGATATTATGTCATTATATCATGATACTAAGACCGCTGGACATCCTGGTATTTCCAAAACGGTGTCAGCTGTTTCTCGGTATTTTTGGTGGGATTCCTTACGAAAGGATGTCACCGACTATATAAGTGCTTGTACTACTTGTGCCTGTATGAAATCCTCCCGTAGAGTTCCTTGTGGGGGACAGGGTTTTGCTTTCCACGCGGAATATTCGTCTCCGGGTGCCTTCTATGAAATTGGCTCCCCGCTTCATTGGACCTTATCGTATTATACATAAGGTTAATCCTGTTTCTTATGCCTTAGGCCTGCCTAAGAATCTACGTATTCCTAATGTTTTTCACACCTCATTGTTGAAACCTTTCGTACGCAACCGCTATACCCGGCATACTCCTCCTCCCCCTCCTATCTCGGTGGAGGGTCATGAGGAGTTTGAAGTGTCTGCTGTTCTTGACTCTCGTTTCCTTAGGGGTCGACTTCAGTACTTGGTACATTGGAAGGGTTATGGGCCTGAGGAGCACAGTTGGATTTCGGCCGATGCTGTCCATGCTCCCCGTCTTGTGCGCTCTTTCCATTCACGTTTTCCTGCCAGGCCTGGTCCTACCCGCCCGGGGGGCGTGTCCTCAGGGGGGGGTACTGTAGCGTTACTTACCTTAACCGGGGGCCGGTCGCGGTCCTCTCTTCAAGCCGCGCGCGGTCCTGCGGCTGCACGAGCCGCGCGCGGCTCATCCAACTACTTCGGATGGAGGGCGGGCAGTGACCGCGTGAGGCGGTCACGTGTCCCGCCTGAAACTAAGAGCGCGCCGCGAGTCTCGGGCGCGCTCTTAAAGGGACAGTGGGTGCCTAAATTGGAAAAGGCATCCCATTGGTCCCTGTCATGCCACACTCCCCATACACTTACCTTTTGGGGGCGTGGATATGACAGGGACCAATCAAATTAGATGTTTAGGTATTTATACTCACCTTCTTCCCTTTGTTCCTTGCCCTATCGTGGTTTCTGTTTCAGTTCCCTTTAGCGCTTGTAGTGTTCAGTTGTGTTTTCTCGTATTGACTTTGGCTTCGTATTCTGACTTCGTTTTCGCTTTATCCTTATCTGTACTGTTTGCCGGCTTGCTGTTTTCCGTGTACCAGACCCCGGCTTGTCCTAGTTTACGCTGTCTCTCTGTGCCCTTGACCTCGGTTTGTTCCTGGCTCTGTCTTCTCTCATATACGTCAAGTCCGGCCATTCTAAGGTCCGGTAGACGTATCTCTCCTCTGTATTTGCCTCTGTTTAGCTGGATCCTGCGTGTAGGGGTATATTCTCGTTACAAGCACCCCACTTCTCCAAACCTATTGTCCCTGAATTTCCTGTACAGTCCGAACCTGAACCCATGGAGTTGGGGGTCACTAGACGGTCGGAAGCAGAAAGACAATATAGGAGAAAAGAAGGCCTATGTCTATACTGCGGTAGAAAAGGACATATGAGAAACAATTGTCCCATTCGTCCGGAAAACTACCACACCTTAAGGGGACAGGTCTTAGGTGTAATGGAAACGTCCTCTGGAATGGATAAAAATAGGTTTCTCCTTGATATTACTATTGCCTTTGAAAATAAGAACTTTTCATGCAAAGCCCTGATGGATTCAGGTGCCGCTGGAAACTTCATTGACGTTCAATTTGTTAAAGGTAATACTATACCTATCAAGGAGAGACTATCACCCCTAGCTGTTGAAGCTATTGATGGGAGACCACTCTCACAACCATTGATTACACACAAAACCTTACCCATTAATGTGTCCATTGGTGCCTTACATAAGGAAGAAATTACATTTCAGGTTATTGCATCCCCTTCCTGTCCAATCATATTAGGCTTCCCATGGCTTAACAAGCATAACCCTCATATTGACTGGGCTAATGGGGAATTATTAGAATGGGGTAAGGATTGTTATGAAAGGTGTATATTGAATCTTGTCAAAAGAGTGGGCACTATTGGATTACCCACTAGTACACCTCAAAACCCGGAAATCCCTATACAGTACCAAGACTTTAAAGAAGTATTCAGCAAAACTCAGTCGAATACTCTACCTCCTCACAGACCTTATGACTGTTCCATTAATTTACTACCCGGCGCTATGCCACCTAAGGGAGCAGTCTATGCTCTGTCACCTCAGGAGAGTAGAGTAATGGAGGAATATATTAAGAAGTCATTGAATAAAGGCCACATACGAAAATCATCCTCGCCTGCTGGGGCAGGATTCTTTTTTGTATCTAAAAAGAATGGTGAAT